TGATTGGGAAGGCTGACTACAAAATACTAGGTTCAACAATATAAATACATATCATCATATTAATACAAACCAAACCAATAGATTCAATTTTTCAAAACAAAAAATATACATATATAAGGGTTCCTTAGTTTACATCCCTAATTTGAAAACCATTAGGCTCTACCTTGAACTATAGATTGGTTTCGCCACTCACTACTACAAAAAAAGCTATTTTCAGCACATTTTGCACTAAAAAATACTTAAAATGCATTGAAAAATTCTTATTTTCTAGTGGTGTGCATTGAAAAATGTTGTTGGAAAAAAACACATACCAAATAATTATTTTTTAGCGTAAAAAACATGCATTGAAAAAAATTACTAAGCGCCAAAAAATAATGGATAACAACAAACCCATAATATGTTTTAAGTTACCATTACCACTTATTTTCCAGTGCTTGACACTAGAAAATAGTTTTTACCTTAAAGGGATATATAGCCACTTATTTTTCAGCACTCAACACTAGAAAATAATGTCTAAAAAATTTAAAAAAATTATTTTTACATTACTATGATTATTTACAATTAGTAAATATTTACAAATACAAAATAATATTTAAAATGAATAAATTTAACCATAAAAAAATATTATATATATTAATCAAGATTATGTATAAAAATCTAAAACAAACACTAAATAAACATACAACTCATATAATAATTAAAACTAAAGAGATTAAATAGATAAAATGTTGATGATAAAACACTACTTTATAATATATTAAAATTGATTACACATAAACAATTATATTTAATATATTTACTTTATAAACACGATCTTATATAAAACATCACATAATACATATAATTTAATAAATATTGATAAAAATAAATGAAATTAAATACATAAATATACCTCAATTTCATGTAATTTATAAAAACATCTGAAATATATAAAAAAATTTAATTAGTAATATATATGAGAGTTTATTGATAAAGAAAATATAAAGAAAATTGAAAATTATACTACCAATAAATTAAAATGAATAGTACCTCTTATTTCAAGTAACATATTAAAGGAAGAGGAAGAGGAAAAGGAAGAGGAATGGAGAGAACAACAAAAAAGCAAGAAGGAAAGTAGAAGAAATGAAGATGAAATGGAAAAGGAAAAGGAAGAGGAAGCGGAGAGAAGAGGAAAGGGAAGATTAAGATGAGAAAGTGAAATATATGAGTGGGGTAAAGGAAGAGAGGAGAAAAAAGAAAGTGAATTCAGATAAGGGATGAGAAAAATGAAAGAGAAGAAAGAAGAAGATGGGAGAAAATGCTAAGGAAGGGAAGGTTGAAGGTTTATATAGATATGTATTATTTTCAATAGCTTAGCATTGGATAATAAAGTGGGCGGGATTTTGAAAATTTTACAAGGAAAAATGGCGCTTGAATGTTGGATTTTAAACTTCAAATAAAATTATTTTTTAGTGCTAGGTGCTGAAAAAAAATATAAGCAGGATTTTATATTTGTAAAAGAAAAGATATTTAAATATTTAGTTCCTAAACTTCTTAATAGACTTATTTTCTATAAGTTGACTCAATTGAATAAGAGTATTTTCCAATGTCAAGCACTAAAAAATAATCTGAACCAATTGGACAACAATATTTTTCAGCATCCAGCACTAGAAAATAACCTAAACAAATTGAATAGGAGTATTTTCTAGCGCCAAGCACTAGAAAATAACTTGTACAACTTGGGTAGGATTATTTTCCAGTGCTTAGCATTATAAATGTAATACCCCAAAAATTTCTAGAACAATTAAGTGTGAGTTAGGGACCTAATTGTGAGAAAATAATATTGTTGAGCTTAATCATAAAATTTTCAAAGTTGAGGGACTTAAAAGAGGAAATAAATTGGATAAGGATCGGCTGAAATTTTTTCTTCTTTCTTCTTCCTCAGCCATGTGTTTCTGCTCATTCTTCTTCTCCCTTTATAGCTGAGCAAGAGGCCAAGCATCGACACACCACCCACTTGAAAAACCGGTAAGAAAACTTGATTTTTCTTTCTTTTCTTGTCAAGAATAAGATTTAGAACCTTGAAATCTTTCCCCTCTACAGAAAAATTTCCAGATCTGCTTTGTTCTTCCTTCCGTCTGTTGCTCTTGGATTGTGTGGGTGTGAAATTTTTTCAAGTTTCTAGTAAGGAAACAGCCACTAATTCCTCTTTTCTCCCTTAATTTGGCTTGGGTTTACTCTAATTTCTTTTGTTTTCTCCCAATTTTCGATAGATCCCCAAAATTTTTCTGCACTTCTCGCGATTTTCCCCCAAACTGCAGCTCCGATTTTGCTTGCTAAATTCTAGTATGTGATAGCTCCATCTAAGTCCAAATTTACCCATTAGTTGCTAAAATTATCCATATTTTTACTTACTGAAATATCTTATTTCATAGTTTTCCTTGTCCACCATTTCAGGAGTGAAACCCGAGCAACGGTTAACAGGGGGAGTGATGAGCTAGATGACTAGTCAGTATTTTGGACTTAGATCCTTTTTGGACTTAGGCCATTAGCCACACATTCTTAACATAGATGTGAACTGATCAATCATTTTTTTGTATATTGTATTTTCTTGGTTATAGCCATGACTGTTTTATAAACTTTTGTACATTTGGACTAGTAAATTTTTTGGAGATTGAAAGCTAGATATTAACTGAGTTTTTGATTTAAGTTATGTAAATTGGTAATTATGAACATAGTAAGTTTCGAGCCTTGTGCATTTGTGGGATCCGTTCACAAGTGCACGGTGTTTGTTTCGCTCCTAGTCTTGGGGCGTGACAGATTTTGTGGTATCAGAGTCTAAGTTTAAATTAAATACCTAGGATTTGTTTAGAACTTGGCTAGCCAATGGATTATAGAAATGTGGTGAGGCATGAGAGTGGGGTTGATTAAGGGCACTTGTTTGATTCTTTCTTTAATGTGTGTTGGATTTTAATTATTAGGTTTTGGTCCTGGAAGTGGAAACTTGCTTGGAAATTTTAATTTGGGGCACTTGATTAATAGTCTATGAACCTTTTAAGTGGTTATAGATGGCTCCAAAACAGCATGGGCGCCTAAGGGGTGGCCATAAGGATCAGGGCACTCCTCCAATCCCAGCTGCTAGCCCCTCTGCCCAAGCTGCTCCTCATGAGGGAAGGATGAGTAACCCTCAAATGGCCACTTTTGTTTAGGAATTTATGGCGGAGATGAGACGTCAAGCATCTTCTGCCATGAGTGTGCCATCTCCATCCCCAATGGTTTCCACTCCTACGGCCCCTACTCCTATTTCTCCTGCTCTTATATCTTCTACTCCTGCTGTGCCTAGTTGGAAAGTCTATACAGAATTCCAGAAGGTGGTGACCAAGAAATTTGATGGTACCATGGGTTTTGAGCATGTGGGGTCATGGATTATCGAGGTGAAGAGGGGATTTCGCCTACTAAAGATTTCTGATGTGGGCAGTTATATGCTTACAGGTGAAGCATTGACTTGGTGGGAGAGTTACTTGAAGCTACACCAAGGAGAGCCTGAATTGAGCACCTGGGATGGTTTTAAAAAGGTGTTCATGCAAGAGTACATACCCGATAGCAAAAGGAATGAGCTGCAAAGGGAATTTGCAGATCTTAAACAAGGGACACGTATTGTTGAGCAGTAGAAGAAGGAGTTTGACTGCTATCTACCTTTTGTGGGTAGTCAAGTTGAGGATGAGCAAGCCAAAACTGATAGATTTTTATAAGACTTGAATCCTGACATTTATCTAGCGGTGAATCAATTCAAACTCGCTAGTTATAGAGAGGCGGCGGACAGAGCCATAGATTAAGAAAAGGTTATGGCTAGAGTCAAAACACCAGATCCACAACAAGTTGGGTCGTCCCTTAGGAAGAGAAAATTTGAGGGGATCCGTAGACCCTTTATCCTTACACCACCTAAGTCTGATACTGGAAAAGGTTCTAAAGAGCTAAGGGTTGCCAAGACTGTGGGTCAGGCATCAGCAACCTAGTGTACTCATCCTGCTCCACCTACTTGCCCCACTTGTGGAAGAGTTGGGCACACTCACAACCAGTGTCACATTACTATTGGGGCTTGCTTCAGATGTGGCAAGCAAGGACATCGGGTTGCTAATTGCCTGCAGTAGGACCCCAGAGCTCAGAGTACTCAATCTACATCTCAGCAGGGTTCTACTAATCAAGGGGCACAGAAATAGAATGTAGGGGTTAGGACAAGAGCCCAGTAGGCGAGAGTGCATGTGATGACTCACAAGGAAGTTGCAACTACCGACATAATCACGGGTACTTTACTTGTCAATTCTGATTATGCACATGTTTTATTTGATTCAGGTGCATCACACTCTTTTATAGCTCGATCTTATGCTTTGAAAAGAGCCGTACTTGTTGATACCTCCGATTTTGAACTGCATGTAGACACCCCTTTTGAAGGGGTGATGACTAGTAAAGATGTGTGTAGGACTGTAGATATTTATATTGATGGTAGACAATTGAGTACTAGCCTGTTTGTTTTAGATATCTCTGATTTTGACATCATTTTGGGGATGAATTTGCTGTCAAAATGTTTTTCCTCTATAGACTGCAACCGCAAATGGGTGATTTTTAATATTCCTAGGGAACCAGAATTTAGTTTCCAAGGTAGTGGTTCCTTTGCTCCACCCATGTTGATATTGGCCTTGCAGGCTTAGAAATATCTTATAAATGGTTGCCAGGGTTTCTTAGTTTCTGTCACTGATGCTAGTAGTGTGACGTTGAGACTAGAAGACATCCCTATGGTGTGTGAGTTTCCGGATGTATTTCTAGAGGATCTCCCAAGTTTACCTCCAGATAGAGAGATTGAATTTACTATTGATTTTGTTCCTGGTACCGGACTTATTTCCAAAGCCCCGTACCGTATGGCTCCTACGGAGTTGAAGGAGTTAAAGGTCCAACTGGAGGAACTCCTTGAGAAAGGGTTTATACGACCTAGTGTGTCACCTTGGGGAGCTCTAGTGTTGTTTGTTAAAAAGAAGGATGGGAGCATGAGACTGTGCTTAGATTACCGAGAACTGAATAAGGTGACTGTAAAGAACCGATATCCCCTTCATAAAATTGATGACTTGTTTGATCAGCTTAGGGGTGCCTAAGTGTTTTCTAAGATTAATCTCCGATCTGGCTATCATCAGTTGAAGATTAGATCTAATGATGTGCCAAAGACTACCTTCCGTACTCGCTATGGTCATTATGAATTCTTGGTTATGCCTTTTGGCTTAATAAATGCCTCTACAAGATTTATAGATTTTATGAATCGGGTATTTAGCAAGTACCTAGATAAGTTTGTGGTTGTCTTTATTGGCGACATTTTGATTTACTCTTCTAGCCATGCTCTTCATGAAAAGCACTTAAGGACAATTCTCGAGACATTGAGAAGTGAGAGGCTATTTGCTAAATTTAAGAAGTATGAATTTTGGCTAGATAATGTTGCATTCCTAGGTGACGTTGTGACTAAGGATGGAATCTCCGTTGACCCCCAAAAGATTAAGGTCGTGGTGGATTGGAAAAGCCCGAATAGTGTTGTAGAAGTCCATAGTTTTCTGGGATTGGCTGGTTGTTACCACCAATTTGTGGGAGATTTCTCTAGAATTGCTCTGCCAATGACCCGTTTGATTAGGAAGGACACCAAATTTGAGTGGACTCTAGAGTGTGAGAAGAGCTTTTTGACCATTGAAGAGAAACTGGTCACTGCTCCTGTACTTACACTTCCCATCAATGGGGAAGGATTCACTATATATAGTGATGCCTCTAAAAAGGGTTTGGGATGTGTCTTGATGTATAAAGATAAGGTTATTGCATATGCTTCATGGCAGTTAAAGCTTTATGAAGAAAATTACCTTACCCATGATCTGGAGTTGGCAGCTATGATATTTACACTCAAGATCTGGATGCATTATCTATACGGTGAGACCTATGAAAATTTCACCGATCAAACAAGAGTCTCAAGTATATTTTCACTCAAAAGGAGCTTAACATGAGGCAGAAGCGATGGCTTGAACTTTTGAAAGATTATGACTTGACCATTAGCTACCATCCAGGCAAAGCCAACAAAGTAGCAGATGCATTGAGTAGGAAGTCTTCTGGCACTGCCTCGAGCATCCTTGCCACCCAGAAGGAGTTATTTGAGGATCTTGTGAAAGTGGATATAGAGTTGGGAGTGGACAGTATTACAGCTTATCTAGTTGCTCTCAGTGCATAACCGGCATTAATTGATAGAATTAAAGTTGCCCAACAAAAAGATCCTTTCTTGCAAAGGTTGAAGGAAAAAGTAAAGACGGAGGAACCCCACATGCAAGAATTTAGAGTTTTTGACGATGAGACTCTGTGGTTTGGTGACAGGCTGTGTGTACCAAGAGATCATGCTTTTAAGGCGTGAGATTATGGGAGATGCTCATAATACTAGTTACACAGTTCACCCAGGTAGCACCAAGATGTATCATGACTTGCGTAGTACATTTTGGTGGCGGAATATGAAGAGGGAGATAGCTAGATTTGTCTCACAACGCCTGACTTGCCAGAAAGTCAAGGCTGAACACCAAAGACTTCCTAGGAAGCTGCAGCCGTTACCTATTCCCCAATGGAAATGGGAGAATATCACCATGGACTTTGTGATGGGTTTACCGTGAACCTTAAAGGGAAATGATTCCATCTAGGTCATCGTTGATCGATTGACCAAGTCAGCACATTTCTTTCCTTACTAGACTGGCGCATCCATTGAGAAGCTTGCCAATATGTACATGAATGAGATAGTCAGGCTACATGGAGTCGTTGTGTCTATTGTGTCAGATAAAGATACAAGATTCTTATCTCATTTCTAGACAAGCTTGCAGCAAGCACTTGGTACTCAATTAAATTTCAGCACGGCCTTCCATCCTCAAACTGATGGGCAATCTGAGAAAACTATTCAGATACTGGAGGATATGTTGAGGGCTTACATACTAGATTGGAAGGGTTCATGGGATCAACACTTATCCATGGCTAAATTTGCTTATAATAATAGTTACCAGTCCAGCATCCGCATGGCACCGTTTGAGACTTTGTATGGTCGAAGGTGTAGATCACCTGTTTGCTAGGCAGAGGTAGGCGAGAGAAGCATTCTGGGCCCATAATTGGTGCAACAGTCTTCTAAGATTATGCAATTGATCAAGGAATGCCTTCGTGCTACACAAAGCAGGCAGAAAAGTTATGCGGATAGAAGGAGACGAGACCTTGAGTTTGAAGTCGGTGACCATATATTTTTGAAGGTGTCACCCACTCGAGGTGTCCTTAGGTTTGGCATCCGGGGAAAATTGAGTCCGAGGTACATTGGACCATATCCTATCCTTGAAAGGGTCTGTGAAGTAGCTTGCCGATTGGAGTTGCTTGGAAATTTAGCCGGTGTTCAAGATGTGTTCCATGTGTCTTTACTTCGAAAGGATATTCCCGACTCGAGTTACATCATTGATCTCGAACCCATTCAACTTCAAGAAGATCTCACTTATGATGAGCACCCGATCCGTATTTTAGATTTCAAGGAGAGGGTAATGCGGAGAAGGACTATTCGTTTTGTTAAGGTCCTCTGAGATAACCATTCGGTTGAAGAAGCTATTTGGGAGTTGGAATCCAAGATGAGGCAAGAACATCCGCACCTCTTCCAAGATTGAAGTTTAGGGGACTAAACTCTTTTTTAGGAGGGGTGGATGTAATACCCTAAAAATTTCTAAAACAATTAAGTGTGAGCTAGGGACCTAATTGTGAGAAAATAATATTATTGAGCTTAATCATAAAATTTTCAAAGCTGAGGGACTTAAAAGAGGAAATAAATTGGATAAGGATCAGCTGAAATTTTTTCTTCTTTCTTCTTCCTCAGTCGCGTGTTTCTGCTCATTCTTCTTCTCCCCTATAGTCGAGCAAGAGCCAAGCACTGACACACCACCCACTTGAAAAATCGATAAGAAAACTTGATTTTTCTTTTTTTTCTTGTCAAGAACAAGATTTAAAACCTTGAAATCTTTCCCTTCTGTAGAAAAATTTCCAGATCTGCTTTGTTTTTCTTTCCGTCCATTACTCTTGGATTGTGTGGGTGTGAAATTTTTTCAAGTTTCTGGTAAGGAAATAGCCACTAATTCCTCTTTTCTCCCTTGAATTGGCTTGGGTTTACTCTAATTTCTTTTGGTTTCTCCCAATTTTCGATAGATCCCAAAATTTTTTTGCACTTCCAGCCAGCTTTCCCCCAAACTACAACTCCGATTTTGCTTGCTAAATTCTAGTATGTGATAGCTCCATCTAAGTCCAAATTTACCTATTAGTTGCTGAAATTATCCATATTTTTACTTACTGAGATATCTTATCTCATAGTTTTCCTTGTCCACTATTTCAGGGAGTAAGACTCGAGGCACGATTAACCAATGGGAGTGAAAAGCTAGACGGCTAGTCAATATTTTGAACTTAGGCTGTTAGCCACACATGCTTGACATAGATGTGAACTGATCAATCATGTTTTTGCATACTGAATTTTCCTTGGTTATAGCCATGACAGTTTTATAAACTTTTGTACATCTGAACTAGTAAATTTTTTGGAAATTGAAAGCTAGATATTAACCGAGTTTTTGATTTAAGTTATGTAAATTGATAACTATAAACACAGTAAGTTTCGAGCCTTGTGCATTTGTAGGACTCATTTATGAGTGCACGGTGTCTGTTCTGCTCTGGTCTTGGGGTGTACCCCATTTCTATCGTTTAACTTGGGCGGTTCTAAATATTTTCTAGTGTTTTGCGCTAGAAAAAAAAAGGTAATTCTTTTTTTTGAAAATTTTTTCTATTAGTAGCAACAAAAAAAAACATTATTTTCCAACACGGAGTGTTGGAAAATAAGAAGGCGCCAAACCAAATTATGGCGCTAATTATTTTTCAGTGCTTAGTGTTAGAAAATAAATCTCACTTGAAAATTATTTATAAATTTTAGATATTTTATACCAAACTTTAATTTTTAGCACTTAGCGTTAAAAATAGTATATTATTCTCCAGTGCAAATTGCTCTGAAAAATAATTAGTTGAAAAAAATCAAATTTTTAGTAGTGACTACACATAATCATTTGAGATTACGTAAAATGGGCTAAATAATTTTTTCCTTTTATTTTTATTCTTTTTAAATTAATAATTTTTAAGATATTTTAAGAAATTTAAAGTGGTGATTTGCATTTAACTCAAACCTTAGGAGTTTACGTACATATTTTCAAAACTTAAGACTTTATCTACAAATATTAAAAATTAAATGTTTATGTCATGTACACATTTCAAAAACAAGAAAGTAATTTATAGTTTGGATTGATTCAAACAGTAAAATATTAATCATTTGATCATGATTGAGCCTTTTAATATTGTAGGCTCCTCTATTAAATGATTCTTTTTTTACTGTCCAGATCAATGTAGATTGTAAAACCAATATTCTATTTAGGGGGTGTTCATGATGTTGCTTGGTTCAAATTTTAATATTTTTTAAACTAATCCAATTAATTAGTTAATAAAACTTTTAAACCAATCTAATCCACTATTATATGATAACCAAAACAATCCAACTTAAATTGGATTGGTGTGGTTTGGTTAGATTAATTGGTTCTTAATACTATTAAATATATGAGATAATGTAAAAAATTTTACCATCAAGTAAAAAACATAACTATAAAACACATTAATATCCAAATAAGTGAAAATATAATATAAGGCATAAATTATAAATAAGTTCTTATATTCCTTTATAATTGTAAAAATTGAAAAGATCTAGAAATTCTTCTTAGTTACATCATCAGAGGCACTAAAAATAATAAAAGATGACTCTAAATTTCAAATATAATGTAAGTAATTTTTAAATATTAAAACTTTTTTTTTTTTGTTTAATGCACTAAATGATTTAGTCTCATCTTCCAAACCCTATTAAAAACAAATAAAATTTGACATGAATATCACTAAAATTAATTAAAAGTATTTATAATCAAGATTTAAAACTCCTCAATCAAATATTCAAAAATAGTAGAATATTAAGATTAGTTATATTATATAGTTTTAAGACTTCTAAAATGAACTTTAAAACTTAGTTAGAAGAATCAAAATATCATTTTATGAAAAAAATTAGAAATTTAAAGTTCTAAAAATAGATTTGTAAACCAATTATGAGGGGTAAACTTGCAAGCAAATTAGAAATTTAGAATTAAGGTTAAAATATTTGATTAAAAAAGAAAAATAAATTAGTAAATATGAGGATATTTTATTTTTATTTTTAATTAAATTAATAAAGTTATTATCTTGTAAAATAAGAAAAAAATTTTGTAAGGATAGGTCCGAGGTTAAGGACCTCGGACGTACTGCTATAATTCCTTAATAACCGAAGTGAAGCACTTCCTAGTCAAACAGCTGCATGACAGTTACGGTGAGCATGCTCACACCAGAATATCTCTCAATTTCCCAATCCCGAAATAACCGTCTGGATAGACACAATCAAACTCCGATTATCTTGCTTGGCATGCCACATGGGTTCCTCATTGGAGCCTATAAATACCCCCCAGGGGCCACGCCAAAAAGGTAATTGAAACCAACCTTAAGCTCCTTTTATCTCCTCTCTAAAGGTAGCCTCGATTATTGCTGACTTAAACATCGGAGTGTCTACCCTGAGGACCCACCTCGGGGCTTTGTAGGTACATCCGAAGTGAAGATGCGGACTGAAAAAGGACTTTTGGTTTGGTGCAATTACATTGGCGCCGTCTATGGCAAAACGAATAAAAAGCTTTATTTCTATGTTGATCTGGTTGATTAGAGGGAAGAGAAGATGAGTGAAAGGCCCATGGCCTATTCTTTTGAGTTGCAGAAATAGATCTGATGAATTTACAGAATGAGTTTATTCGTTTGTGAAAAAGAGAAGTTTTCACAAAATAGATTTGATAAATTTACAGAATAGGTTTATTCGCTTGTAAAGAAGAAGAGCTTTCACAAGAAGATAAACAGACGAGCTCGAGCTTCACGGCAGCGACAAGCATTCTCCCAACTCGGCAGCTAGGTAGGAACAAAGTAGCCCCAGCTCGGCGGCAGCAAAGCGATCTCCTAGTTCGTCACCATATACCAAACAAATTTGTAAAGAAGCTCGTTGAGGAAGACGCAAGCAATCAACAAAATATGATGCTGGTCAGCCCGAACTTACAACAAGCATCCTCCCTGGGCAATAAACCATTCAAGCTTGACCACCACTTTGCGATGATTGAGGAGATAAATCTTAAGCTTTCATTATTTTACTTTGTTTCCGATATTTTATTTTCTTTTTCTATAAAGCAAGTTGGAATCTCCCTCTCCTTTGAATTTGTTCTTGCAGAATCCAAGAGACAAGTCCCCGACTAGGTAGCTCACAAGTATGAAAATCCCTCCAATTAGTTGCTAGGGGAACAAAAGCCTATGGTTCCAATGCTAGAAGAAGGCTAAACAGCTACGGCCGGGCTGACTATGGCTAGGCTCCATTACTCAAGCTTGACAATGACGAGCTGCAAGCCACAGATCAACTTCAGCCATCAAAGGGAAGGTCCATATCATAGATGAGCTGCTATCGAAGTGTCCTCAACAAAAAGCCATACAACAAGTGACTCCTCTTGATGAAACTATTTTACACTTTGCAGTGAAGAACAGTCAATTTGGAGCTTTCAAAGTCCTTTTTGAAGCATCAAAAAAGTTAGAAGATCATGAGGTATGACTACATGCAAAAGATAATGAAGGCAACAGAGTCCTTGAGATGGCAAAAGCTAGAGATCAACTTCAGGTATCAACATTATAGCTTCAGTTCTCTTTATTAATTCAACATCAGGTATCAACATCTTGCTCGAGCACGAGCTGAAACACCTTGCTAGAGCACGAGGTGCAAATATCCTACTTGAGCACGAGCTGCTGCATCTTGCTCGAGCACGAGCTACAAATTGCAGAAATCTAAGCTGCGAATTGTAGAAGTCTGAGGTGCTCTATGCTGAAACACAAGCTACGAAATGCTGATGTGCGAAATGCTTGACCATGAGCTGCGAGATGCCGAGGTCAACCACAAGCTGTAGAGGTTGAGCACCAGCTGCAGATCTCAAACACCTGTTGCCGAGGTCAGCCACAAGCTGCAGAGGTCCAGCACGAAGTGCAGAACTCGAGCACAAGTTGCAGATCTCAAAACACTTGCTGCCAAGGTCAGCCATGAGCTGCAGAGGTCTAGCATGAAGTGCATAACTCGAGCACGAGCTGCAGATCTCAAAACACTTGTTGCCGAGGTCAGCCACAAGCTGCAGAGGTCCAGCACGAAGTGTAGAATTTGAGAACGAGTTGCACAGCTCAAACACTTGCTGTCGAGGTCAGCCATGAGCTGTAGAGGTCCAGCAGGAAGTGAACTCGAGCACAAGTTGCAGAGTTCAAACACTTACAGCCGAGGTCAGCCATGAGCTTCAAAGGTTGAGCATGAAGTGCAGAGCTCAAACATGAGGGGCCGAGGTCAACCACGGGCTATAGAGCTCAAACATTTGCTGTTGAGGTCGAGAACGAAGTGCAGAACTTGGGCACGAGCTGCAGAGTTCAAACACTTATAGCCAAGGTCAGCCATGAGTTTTAGATGTCGAGCACGAAGTGCAAAGTTCAAACATGAGTTGTTGAACTCAACCACAAGCTGCAAAGCTCAAACATGAGCTACAAAGGTCGAGCACAAAGTGCAGAGCTCAAACATGAGCCGCCGAGGCCAACCACGAGCCGTCAAGCTCAAACACTTGCTGCTGAGGTCGAGCACGAAAAGCAAAACTTAAACACGAGGTGTAGACCTCAAACACTTACTGCCGAGCTCAGCCACGAGCTGCAGAGGCCAAGCACGAAGTGCAGAACTTGAACACGGTGCAGAGGTCAAGCATGAGCTAAAAGATGTGCAGCACGAGTTGCAAGGTGCCAACACCCTCAACAAGGTGCCAATACTTTTCCTACATCCGTCCTGGAGAGTCCGTGTCGAGTTTTTTGTCCTTCTTTGCAAATTCTGTTAATGGTAAAATTTCAATCTCAGTCCCTTACTTATGAATTCTACACAATTTAATCCTCACATTTCATATCTTTCAATTATGAATTCTTCTAATTAAGTCCTTTCTTGCACAAAAAATGAAATTATGCAAAATTAAGTAAATTTTCATAAAACTTATTCAAATATCAATAATGTCAAGGCATAAATTCTACATTAATATGTATATAAATTTAGTTCATCAACCATGTATTGCTTTGAAAATTAAAAAAGATGAACTAGTAATCTTTTTCTTTTATTTATTTTATATAATATGCTTTCTTGATTATAAAACTGGATGCCTTTGATTTCTCCTTTTTTTCAAGTCCTTGTGATACAGGTTGTCAAGAAAGCATTAAGCTCCGCAACAAATTAGAGCTTTGGTCTAAGCTTGGTCCAATCTTATATTAAAATTTATTATTAATTGCTTTTCGCATTCTTTGCATTCATTCCACATTTTTCCATTCATTCTGCACTTGTTTTTGCACTCATGATATCATTTTGCCATCTCATTTTTTATATATCATAATCATGCTACTTTGCTCATTTGCACTTATGAGTATAAGTATCCATTGCTATTTTAGAGATGAAAAAGTGCAGGGACTCCATGTGGGGTGGGTTCTAAAGAAATCCCTTTATACTGAGCTCCTCCATCAAAATTATATACGAGCTATGAGCTATGAACAACTCCTCCATCCAATTTTAAAAGTCTACGGGCCCCAACCATAAAGCTCAACAGCTCACAAAGATGATCAAGTAAATTTCTTCTCTAGCATCATTTATGAGAGGCTAGATTTTTTCTCTCCACATTTGCTCTTGAGTCACAACAAGAAGGAGTTAACATCATTCGTAAGAAGCTAAATTCTTTCTCGAGTTTTTATCTCATCAAGCACAATTCTTTCTCAAGTATAAATTAATTCTGCTCTGCAAGTCAAGTAAGTGTTACATATTAGAAATTTCAAAATTACTTTGCACATTTAAGATTTTTATGAGTTATTTTGCATGTCCAATTTTTGTTCTTATATTTACAAGCTAGAAAGACTTATTATTACAACATGCATGACTGCTTGTTTATTAGACATGTTAAAGCATAAAAATGCAAATAATGTAATTTATGATTACAACGTTTATGTTTACCAACCCCAAATATGCGGGTTAAGGGGGGAGAAAAGTCATCATTATGACGTCTAATAGGAACCTATGATTAAAAAGTGCAACTTCATAATTTACTTTAATTACAACTATTAACTGTGATACTGAGCTTAAGATATATGTGCATATATCTGTACCCTTATCATATAATATGGTCAGCCTTGGACTTTAACAATAGGAACTTCATGTGCTGACTTAGGAACTTAAACAAGTTCATAAACTAGGTTGAGTTCATCCTCATGGCAGTCCATTCCGAGGTGAACTCCCTTGGATGATGTAAACCTCGAATGAACTCAACTACCTGAGCTAATCCTCATGCTAACCCATTCCGAGGTGAACTACCTTGGATGAGGTAAACCTTGGATGAGCTCAACTGCTTGATCTCATCCTCATGATAATCGGGTGAACTACCTCGGATGAGGTAAACAACCTCGAATGAACTCAGCCTATGCTTGAGCTCATCCTCGTGACAGCCTAGTCTGAGGTGAACTACCCCGGACGAGGCAAATGACCCTAGATGAGGCAAACGACCTCGGATTAACTCAGACGACCCCCTACCCACATAACCTCCATATCATTCACAAGTGAATGACTCCCAGAGGGGGAATAGTGTGATGGTAGTCCGATGTCAACTACCTTGGATAAGGTCAACCTCGGATGAAATCAACTACTTGAGCTCATCCTCATAATAGTCCTTTCCGAGGTCAACTACCTTAGATAAGGTAAACAATCTTGGATGAACTCAACTACTTAAGCTCATCCTCATGACAACCCATTCCGAGGTGAACTCCCTTGGATGGTGTAAGCAACCTAGAATGAACTCAACTACTTGAGCTCATCCTCATAACAGCCCATTTGGATGAGGTAAACAACTTTAGATGAACTCAACTACTTGAGCTCATCCTTATGACAATTAAGCTCAGGTCTAGCTCGCAACCAGCTCGCCATGTCACCAGCTATCGTGTTCCACCTCTCATGGGCCATTCATCAATAAGATATGCTGAGCCCCTATTTATTAAATATATTGAATATAATATATTCTTCATGTTTCAACTAAAAGTGAGCGGCTTAAATGACATTTATTTATGTTAATACATTTGTGGAGCCTCATGCAAATAGTGGAATAATCCACAAGCTAATGGTATCCACGAGTTGGTGGTCTTTATTATTGGTTCTAACTTAAAGAGATAAATCTCTCTTTGAGAGAGGGAGTAGGAATACATAAGCAACAAACATAAACTTCTATACTTGGCATGCGTTTAATTCGCTGCTTGAATAACTCAACCTAAGTATATTTTAAATATTCATATCTTATTATTGATGACTCATGCCACAGACATTCATATTTAATTCTAAATTATTGTGCCACTTTAATGTTGATGCATCTCATATATTATTGATTATTGATGAACTAATGATATCTTGTCAAGTTCTATGTTTAGAATGAATTCTTATAGGTCTCATGAGTTTGTTAACTCCTTGGCTCGGAAGACTCAAAAATATGTTATCAACTTTTAAACTTATCAATTCATCAGAAAATACTATTGGCCTTTAAGCCCATTAGCTATTGGCTTTTTTAGCCCATTCGATCTACAAGAGCTTGCGTACATCAACTATCAGCTTCTCAACTCATTTGTTCTATGAAAGCTCAGTTCAAAACTCTGAAAAGCACAACCCTCAAAGGGGTTTGATTTTATGCTATGACTCGAAAGACCAAGATTTTATTATGGGCATCTCAAGGTGGGATTCTGTGGTAGGCATCTCCAGCTACCAAAATTGGCATTCAATCAAGGCCAAAGCTCCTATTTGCACCCTCCATTTATTTCTTTTTCGTGGTCAACACCTTCCAAAATTTTTCCTCCCTATTCACACCCTCAACTTTTCAAAACCCGTAAAAAAACCCAATATTTTAACGTGCTGTTACGGAACCGTTAAAAAATGCATTATGTGGCACTCAAAAATTGACGTGACATTACGTGGCAGTAGTAATCCAATATAGATCCCTTTTGTTGATGATGTGGCTTATTTTTTGCACACGTGGATGCCACGTGTATAGTGAAACTAATAGAAAATTATATTACTTGTGCTACCAAATAGCAATATAAATATGTCACCTGGACTTTTTTTTTTTTTATGATGCAGCATGGTTCCTACGTGGAACCCAATTCTGGGTTCCTGCGCATGGAACCCAGTTTTGGGTTCCGACGAGGAACCCAGATCTGGGTTTTCTGACCATTTTTTTTATTTTTTTATTTTGAATATATTTATCTTAGTTTTTTATTTTATGCAAAGCAATTTGGAATACTTTTTTTGTTGGAAAGGTGAGTTTTTTTGCTTGGAGATTGTTTTTGAACAGGTTGCCAATTGCCAATTTGAGTTCAAGTAGGATTAACATGAATGGAAATAACGGTTTTTTATTTTTTGTGGGAAAGGGGTAGAAGATGCATATTTGTTTTTGTGCAGTATTCATTTACTTATAATTGTGTGGATGAAAATCTTAGCTTAGTAGGCATTCATGTGAAATTGGTTACATGAGGAACTCAGAACCCGAGTTTCGTGAGGAACTCAGGAGGACAAGGACGAGGATGGGGAAGATGATGCCAAGAATGAAGAAAATGAAGAAATTAAAATTAATTATGATTTAATTATAATGCATTATAAAAAAAAAAGTCCACATGGATTAATAAATGTGACATAACGTCTTGGTTCCTAGTTCCATGAGGAACCCAGGAGGATGAAGAAGAAGATGATAAAGATGATGTCGGGAAAGAAGAAAATGAAAAAATTAAAATAAATTATGATTTAATTATGTCATGTCATAAAAAAAAAGTTTACATTGGATTAATAAGATGACATAACGATTATATTACTATTTGATGCCACGTATTACAATTTTTAACAGTTATTAACGGTTCCGTAACGGCACGTTAAAATATTGGGTTTTTTACGGGTTTTGAAAAGTTGAGGGTGTGAATAGGGAGGAAAAATTTTGGAAGGTGTTGACCACGGAAAAGAAATAAATGGAGGGTGCAAATAGGGGCTTTGGCCTTCAATCAACTCTACAAAAACTAGTTCTCATCCTAGATCTATAGAGCATGACTCTCAGAAGTTTGACTTCCATTATGGCTCATGAGGTTGCAAAACGTCACTTTCAAGTCATCATTTTCAGGTCATCATTCTTAGCTACAATCATAACACATGACTATGGGTCATGCATCTTTACTTCAGGCTCCGGCCACAGTGACCCAGCGTCACATGTTTTACTTCGGTTCCGGCCATAGCGATCTAATTCCATATGTTTCACCTTAGTTCTTGGCATAATGAGCCAGTGTCACCTACGTCAATAGTATTATACAGCTACATAACATGCTTCTCGCATCAGCTGATCTTGTATTATATTTATCATTTGCTATCATATACTTCCCTTACCACATCATTCACAAGTGAATGACTTAGAGGGGGGAATAGTGTAAGGATAGGTCCGAGGTGCCCAACCTCAGACGTACGATAGTAATTTCTTTATGATATGCTCGACCATTATCCAATCTTACCTCTAAGAAGGTCGAAGACTTTGTTTTCAGCTCAATCATCTGCAAATATGGGATCTCAAATCAAATTGTGGCTGATAATGGAACTCAGTTCAACTGCTCCTCATTTAGAGATTTTTGCTCTAGTTATGGGATCAAATCGCAGCTCACCTCGGTGTACCACCTGGGATCTAATGGGATGGTAGAATCTGTCAACAAGGTTATACTCGAGGGGATAAAACCAAGGTTAAAGCTACATAAGGCCAGGTGGGCAGACGAGCTCAACAACGTCCTCTGGGCATACAGAACCACGAGCCGAACTGCTAGTGTTTTACTTCGGCAACTGACATGATGGCTTCGGTCATACTTGTCTCTTCGACCCCGGCCACAATGACCAAGACATTTTACTTCAGCTCTGACCATAGTGGTCCCAAGTTACATGTTTCATTTCGGCTCCACCACAGTGACCCAGTGTCGCACGTTTCACTTCGGCTCCGGTCACAGTGACCCAGTGTCACACGTTTCACTTCGGCTACCACTACAGTGACCCAGTGTCACATGCTCTACTTTGGCTCCGGCCGCTATGATTCCGGTCATTACTTTTTATTACTGCTCCGGCCGCTATGACTCCGATCACTACTTTTTGCTATGGCTCCAGCCATTATAACTCCGGTCATTACTTTTTATTACGGCTCCGGCCCTTATGACTCCAGTCATTATTTATTACCTCGGCTTCGGCCACATGACTCTGGTAATTACTTATTATTTCGGCTCTGGCCGCTATAACTCCGGTCATCATTATTTACTTTGGCTACGGCCATAGTGACCACGAGTCCAATTCTGCTTTGGCTACGGCCATAGTGACCACGAGTCACATATTTTACTTCAGCTCCGACCATAATGGTCCCGAGTTACATATTTTACTTCGATTCCGGCCATAGTGACTCCGAGTCACCTATTTTACTTCGCTCCCACCATAGTGACTACGTCACCTATTTTACTTCGGCTCCGGCCATAGTGACCACACGTCACCTATATTACTTTGGCTCTAGCCACTGTAATTGAGTCATCAATTTTACTTCGGCTACAACCATAACACATGACTCCATGTCATGCAATTTTACTTCAACTACAACTATAACACATGACTCTGCGTCATGCATTTTTACCTCGGTTACAGTCTAAAACACGACTTCATGTCACACATTTTTATATTGACTACCCCCATCTACGCTCATCTTCCACACTAATCATTCACAAGTGAATGACTTCGAGGGGGGAATAGTGTAAGGATAGGTCTGAGGTTAAGGACCTCAGACATACTGCTATAATTCCTTAATAACCGAAGTGAAGCACTTCCTAGTCAAACAGCTGCATGACAGTTACGGTGAACATGCCCACACCAAAATATCTCTCAATTTCCCAGTCCCGAAATAACCGTCTGGATAGATACAGATACAATCAGACTCTGATTATCTTGCTTGGCATGCCACGTGGGTTCTTCACTGGAGCCTATAAATACCCCCCAGGGGCCACGCCAAAAAGGTAATTGAAACCAACCATAAGCTCCTTTTATCTGCTCTTTAAAGGTAGCCCCAATTATTGCTGACTTAAGCATCAGAGTGTCTACCCCGAGGACCCACCTCGGGGCTTTGCAGGTACATCCGAAGTGAAGATGCGGACTGAAGAAGGACTTCTGGTTTGGTGCAATTACAAATTTAAAATACTACAAAAATATATTATATTATTTAATCAAGTCATTTTATAATCAGATTTTATTTTGTAATTAGATAATTTATACAATTTAATAATAAAATTACAAATCAAACCAATTATATTAATTTTAAAATTTTATAATTTAAACCAACCAATTTTATATCGGATTGATTTGGTTTTTTATTAACTTAGTCAAATTCGATCAGATCAATGTGATAAGATGGGATATCAACAACCCTAATTCTGTTTTAAAAAATCTCAAATATTTAAGTCCAGTTCTCTCAAACTATTAGTACCTAAATAACAATTTTCCCAAACACCCTGAAAATATTTTTCTTAATCCAAACAAACCCCTTAAATTTCTAGGTCAGCGCTGTAGCAGGGGAGACAAAATCGAAGTCCAGCGAGAGTCGAGCTCAATGATCTCCTCAGCTGGTTAATTTGCTTCCATCGGCATCGGAACAGATACCTGAAACTGCCGGCGATACGGTTCGACTGATTTGGCCCTAAGAGCTGCTTCATCATCAATATTTTCCTGCAATTTCATAACGGTTAGTTTGAATTTCTTGTATTATGTTGTGCTTTCTACCTTTATTTTCAAGATGGAAACTTTAAAAGGTTGTCGAGGCCCAATTGGATAGAGTTTTCACGTCGCCATGAAAATAAGACAGCTTCTCCTTAATCACATAGAAATCTTTAAATTTATACATTAAAGATTGCTCGGATGGCTTTTACAGTTGGTGATGATATTTTGCTTACTGGGGAATTGCTATAGGAGATAGAATGCTTTCTTTTTTTACTTTTTATTTTGGGTGATTCTATAATGTTAGATTTTGCAAAGAACATGATTTTAGGTTTGGTCTTTGTATGGATTTACTTTTGTGGCTGTGGTTAAGGTGTTTGTTGATATTCCTGAGTGAAATTTAAAATCTAATAGAATGAACAGGAGTTGAATCCAGCAGAAGGATGTACTGTTCTTGAAGGTCCTTTTGCTTACTACTACTTTGAGTTTTTTGGTTGTAGGATTTAGGATGGTGCCGACAAGGAAATCTGATTTTCTTTAAATGCAATCTGAAATTCCTAAATGAATACTTTGGCATGCTTTTTGTCATGCTTGGTGTCTGTTAATGTGTGGAAGATTTAGGGCAGGGTTACTAGTACTGTAGATGACTAGATGTCACTCATTATAAAGACATAAATACTAGACCCTAATTTTTTTTACGCACTCTCTTTCTCAGTTCTCTTGAGATCTCCTTCAGAACCTCCTTATTTTTTCATCAGCTGATATTGGGAGTAGGTTGAAACTGCTGCTCCATTAAGAAGAGAAAGCACAAATTTTGTAGATTGAACATCAGTGAGAATGGTGATTCCTTTAGTAGCTTGCTGCCAATGTTTTGATTCGTGATTAGAATGTCTTCATCGCTTCAGGAGTATCTATCATCAGCAGATCTTATTGCTGGTAATGACGACCTTATCACTGAAATTCTATTGCATGTTCCTGCAAAATTTGTTATCAGACTGAAATTGGTGTCGAAGAGATGGCTTTCCCTCATTTCAGATCACAATTTCTTAGTTCGACATAATATCAAGAATGCTGGTTCAATTTCTGGCCTTATCATCTCTTATTTACAAGGCCGACAAGTGTCACCAAGTTGCACCTACATTCCTATTGATGGAAATCAAGAATCAGCTTTGGCACTCACGAGGGAAATTACTTTTGACCATGTTCCTAACTCTAGTTTTAGCAAAGTTTTGCACTCATGCAATGGCTTGCTTTTGTGTTGGGCACAAGGTCATATGGAGCCTGCTGCACACAAATTTTATGTTTTCAATCCAACAACCAACCAATTCTCAACTCTTCCTTTACCTCTTATCTATGATAGAAGTTGGACGAGCTTTTGTTTAGCATATGAACCTTCCAAACCAACTCTCTACAGGGTTGTTTGTGTTCAGTTATGTGAATCATTTTGTAATATTCAGATGTATTCATCTGATACGGGAGTTTGGGAGATGTCTTGTAACAATGGAATTGATGAATTTACAAGTGAGTTTTACCATGGGGTCTTCTGGAATGGAGCCATTCACTGGATTGGTTTTTCTGGCCATTGTTATTGTTTTGATGTCGATCAAAAGTGCTTACAACGAATGCCATCACCTCTTCTTCCTGAGGACTGGAACATTTGTCATTCCCATTATTTTGAGGAGTCTCTAGGCAATTTGTATTTTGTTGCTTTTGACAATACTAGATCCTCTAACTTCATTGTCTTTGAGATGAATAGAGACTACTCTGGATGGTTTGTGAAGCACCAATTGAACATAAATACCATATTGCCTGCTTTTCCAGATATTGCTGAGAGGTATCATGGTTTTGATAATGTTTGTATTTCTATTCTCTTGGTGGTTGAGATTGAAGGTGAAGGGATGAAGCTAGTAATGTACATACATGGGGAACCAGGTAAGGTTATATCTTACAGCTTTGGCGATAATGCTTTCAAGAAGCTTTGTGATTTTGGTTGTTACTCAGGTGTACCATGGTGGAATGCTTTCAAGTACATTGAGACTTCGTCTTGTTTCTGATGCTTATCTTTTGATCATAGCTCATGTCATTAACTATGGTTGAGAATAGTGCTGTGTTCATGTTATAGACTTATTGCGTCTGCTCTTGTTTTCTCAAATTAATACTTTTCACAGTATATTCTCTTTTTGAAAGCTTTGTTTGGTTCATGAAACAAAACTTGTTCCATAATACTGGATAAGAGTTTGCATTCAAGATTCTGTATGACAGCTTGTACCTTTATATTTTGACTGTTGATTTTTATGATTTCCTTAATTCTGTTTAGTTTGGATGCATGCTAGATTGATGCTTGATTTTATCATGGAGTGTAAAGTTGCATAAAGGAATCTAAGTCTCAAATTGTTCTTCAAATATCATGATACAGTAATTAGGAAGAAGCTTCCTATAAGACATAGAGACCTTGAATTTAAGTATTGGCATTAGAGCAGATTGAGAAGCACTGAAGGGTGATGAAACCAAAATTAGGCAGTACGTGTAAGGATTTTATTTAAGGCCTGTGTATGAGGTTTCAATTATGTTAAGATGTTACAAGAGTTCAGATAACCCAAGGTCTTTTATTTTATTTATTTATTTATTTTTTTTAAATGAATCATAATGCATTGTCCTAGCTATTGCTTCATATTAAGAAATGCACAGACTACATATTAGCCACAACGAGCCATCTTTTCCCCTTATGGTAGGGAGGAAGATCTTCCCTACCATCAACGGGGAACATCTTCTGGGCCGGAGTGATACAATGGATGGACCATACTCTGGGATTATTGTTTGGATTGCAGACCTGCCCCTTTCAGCACTGCCAGTGTATTCCTTTCTGGGGATCTCTAGTTGTATCTTGTTGGATTTCTGGTGACATCAGAGTTTCATAGTGAAGAAGCTGTGACCATGGACATGGATCGGATGGTTCTACAGATTGAGAAAATTTTTTTCATGACAAACAATTTCTATACTTGCTTCATAAGGAACCACTAAAAGCCTTGTAGCAAAACCAGTTTTATGTTTTCTGTTAATGGATCCACGCCAGTATAATAATTGTAAGGTTTTGGTGGCTGTTCTGGGAAGCTGGAGGCGAAAATTCTGGCAGTACAGATTATAGTTAAAAGATTGCAGAACCCACAGCGAAGAATTGGCTGTTCATGGAAGCCAAAAGTCTCCCACGGTCCCACCATCTTAACTCCCTTGCAGGTTCTGTTTGCAGGACAGTGTTGAAGGCTTAGGCTTATGGTCGTTAGTCGTAACAATTCTTGTCAATTTTCTTGGGGGCATCTTACATGGGTATGGACTTGATTCAAGGCTCTTTAAACTCTTCGAAAATATACTTTCAAAGGCAATTGGGAACAAGATAATCAATCAAAACTTAAGTATGGACAATCTTGATTACGAACCAAAACCAATCCCTCTGGATTTATTAATGTTGTTGTCTTGCTATCAGGTATCAACCAAAGCCATTGGATGGAAGAGAATCTACACACGTCAAATGCAAAGATTTGTCTGTGAAATACCCAACATGAGTATCTTGTGCTTTGTTTTTAAATAATCGTATCCTCCCCTCTTCCAGTTTAGTTGTCAATGCTCTAATGCTTTTTTATGGTATACTTTTTATGTTCGAAAATAATTTTTATTTTTTGACTCCAAATTTATATTAAAATAATTATAATTTTTTACTTAAAATTTATACTATTTTTTTAAAAAATTTTTAAGAGAGATATAATTTTGTCTTTCTTTAACCTTATATAACTTTTAACTTTAATTATTTAACCTATCATCAACATTTTTATTTATTTTTATCTTTTTCTTAATAATAATATAGTTAAGTAGATAATATGAAAAAGTGTCGGAAGTAACAATTATTTTAAAAGGAAAAGAGCAATATATATTTTATGAAAATGATATAATTATAATGTCACATGATATTATAAATTTATAATAATGTGTCAATATAAAATTAGTTTTTTTCACTTGGAGTTTACTTATAATATTATATGTATTCATTTATTTAATTATTAAAAATACTATAATTATAATATCACATATAATTGTAAACTTACAATCATAATGTGACATTAAATAAGTATAGTGTATCCTTAAATTAGTAGATATATATAATATCACAAATAAGCTATTAAATGAAAAGAATTAATTATATAACAACTTATAAGTTTATAATATCACGTGATATTATAACATTTTATTTTCATTTAATGATATACCACACTTATTTAATATTACATCGTTTACAATTTTATGTGTTATTGTAATTATAGTAATGTCATATACTTCCTTTGATTGAATTTAGTTATCTTAGTTTGATCAAATAATTTTGTATAATAAGTAGATAATAATTAAATTTTTTTTCTATCTATACATAATATTTGTTGAACATTTTCACTTAAAATAAAAAAAAAAATTAAAATATTATTTATTTATTATATAAAATTATTAAATCCAACTTCATATAAACAAGTTAAACCAAAACAATTAAACCTAATACTCGTAGTATTAAAAAACCCATATAAAAAAGAAAAAAAGAGAGATGCATTTTCGCTGTTGCCCCTAAACACAGGTTCTTTTTT